CAAATTTCCGCCTCTCGCTGATAACAACATGTTTCCAAGCTCTCTCGCATCTGCAGAATTCGCCCCATGCGGGCCTGATTCGTCTTTTTAGTGGCCTGCCGGCGCGCGCAACCGCCCGCCACTTCGCATCTTCTTGTTCGGGGGCGCCTGCCGCAGCAACGTTGCCCAGTAGATATTGCGAGCTATCCTGGCCCCTCCCAGTGGGCAACGCGCGCGTCGTCGGCGCGCGGCAGGACGGAGACCCCCCACTGATGACTCTGTTTGCGCATTGTCTCCCAGATTGCGCGCGGCATCTCGCGTCGCAGTCGTCAACGTTCAGAAAGACATAATGATCAAAAGCGCCCCTGGGAATTTCCAGACCACCGCTTCCTTCCCGGGGATGCCTTTGCACCGTCTGTCACGCGAGACCGCCGCGCATAGCTTATATTCCTAATCATATGCGTCATGACTTCTATCCAGTCCAGGGCAACAAACGCAGCGCCGCCTTCCTTCCCGGCGCGTGCCGGGTCGATGTGGCGTCGCGCCGCGCGGGCGGCATCCGCGGCGCCCCACCTTCTGCGAAAGCCGCAGTGCGTCTGCAAAAACCGTTCTTCTGCGCCTGCTGGTTGAAGCCGTTGTCGCGGGAAGCTGGCCAGTAGCTCGCATGCCGCGCGCGCGAGGCTCATTGGCAGGACGGCCCTTTGTTGTTGAATCTCGCACTCGCTCTTTCGTGCCCCCATGCGCCCGGCACACTTTGCGCGTCCCGAACTGCAGTGCATGATTCGGTTATCACTTGTAGCCCACCCTGCGTTTGTGATGCAGCTTGCCAAAATTCAATCTGCATGTTGTCAGGCGACCTCTTACGCTGCGAATCCGGACGCAACCGCGAGGCGCGACCCTATCGCTGCGCTTTCCGCCATGTTTGCTGGGCGTGCCCCCCATTGCGTGTTCTACATAATCGGCCACTTGTACCAGCGCGTTCCGTGCTCTCCACTCATTTCCCATGCGCATTTCGGAGCCTGCCCTGCTTGCACCGCCGCGGGCGGCAGAGTCTCCGCGCGTTGCCCCAGCTGCCGGATGCGAAGTTCGAGCCCACACGCGTCGGCCTGTCACTCTCGCGCGATCGAACCTAAAGAGACGGCATTCTTCCAACCGATCGTCGCTGTTGCGGGCATTTTGTCCGCGTTGTATCAGCTCCAGCGCGCGCTGCGATATCCAATGTTGTTTTGTCTCTTCTCGACGCCGCAGAAGCAGGACCGCAGCCGCCGGCGCTGCATCGGACCCTCGCCCCCGCAGAGAACCCGCGCCCCCGCCGGCGGCCGCGCCAGATATCTCGTCCAAACATGCTTCGGCGCGCCGCGACTGCGCCGCTGGATCTCCGAGCGCATCTCTATCTATCGGGGGCTCGCGCGGGAGTTTTCTCGGGGCCCGCGCGATCGATGCCGAATGTCGCCGAAAAGCGACCCGTGGCAAGGGCTGCGCGGCCACGTGCGTTTGTCGGACAATACTCGACCCAAAATAGCAAAATCACACGAGACAGACTCAAAAATCTGGCGCTTTCATCCGCGCTGCCCCCCATCGGTTCCGCGGCGGCCACCCTGCGCGCGATGGCCTGCCCCAGCGGCCTCTCGGAACGCATTTTTACCAGTCGAAGCTCGAGGCCGACGCAAAAATCAAGTAGCAGGTCTCCGCTCGCAACTTCGACTTGGCGAAATGCCCGCCTGCCCCTCGCGAGCGGCCCGATGGCCGCTGATTCCCCGGCGCCCGCGCGCCCGACGCGCGCGCCCGCGCCCCCCGCGATGAACTTCCCAGCTGTCGCCGAACACGCCGTGAACACAGCGTCGAGAGCTCTACAGAATCAGCGTTTTTCCGGCAACGGCTGCGAGTTGCGGGAGGCGCGCGCGCCGAGACATCCAAGCGCGCGAGGTGCCATCTGCAATTTGAGTTGACAGATTCTGTCGGAGAATCGATTGCATGACCGCGCGCGCGGCGCATGGCCCAGAGATATGACGAACCCGACTCCTGCCCAGGATGGCGCATCTGCGTCCGCGCCTGAAAGGGAGATGCGGCATCCACTGTTCTCGTCTTCGTAATCCTCTGCGTTCGTGGCCCGTGTTTCCTGCGAGCATAATTTGCAAGCCCCAATCTACTCCGCGCTGCGAATTATTTCCAGCCGCGCACGTTCCGCGCGGCGCAGCGCAGACCGATGTAGCTTTCGCAGCGACGCCCCGCGGTGAGCCTAGGAGGGCAGCCGGCATCTTTGCCAAATCTGCCGTCGGAGGGCCCAGGCGAGTAGCTTTGCTGGTCAGAGCGAGGGGGCCAAACGGTCATTCATTGTCCATGGGTGCGGATCCGTGGTGAAGGTGCTGAGTGTTGCGTTAATGTTGTTGCTGCTGCTGTCGTTGCTCGTCGCCGTCGCCCCCCCCGCGACCAGGCCCGCGACCCGCCCGCGAACCGCCCCGCGAAGCACGCGCGACCCGCCCCGCGACCCGCCCCGCGACGCACCCGCGACCTACCCGCGACCTGGCTCGCGACCCACCGTCGACCCGCCCGCGAGCCACCTGCGACCCAACCCGCGATCCACCTACATTGTTTATACAAAAAAGCGCCTGTGGCGGGCGCGTTGCATAGCTTGATTTTTGTTGCGCCCGCGGTGGGCTTCATCAGAGCCTCGCAGACTACAGACGCCCCCGCCGCCCCATCACTCTCGTCCGCAACTGCGGGGTGCTACGTCTATTTGCCCACTCTGCCCTTGCTAGAATGAAACGATTCTGGGGGGGGTCCGGAGGATCCCCGCGCCGGAATGCACTTTGACATGCTTTTTGTTGAAGCCCCACTTCTCTGAGGAAGACGAGTAGCGCAATCCCAACAGCAGCGAAGATAACATTCTCGTTCACATTGGGACGTCCAATTGCACCAGACCCGCCTATGGCCTTCCTTTGGGTTGCCATTTTGGAGCAGATGTCCTCCAAGTATGTTTGCGTTTGCTGCGCCGCCGCGGCTGTGCCGAGCTCGATGAACACCATACCTTTGAACTCTTCTTCTGGCGGCCCCTTCTTGTAGATCTTCGCGGGGGCGTCGATCTTGCCGTCTTGCGCGGCCTGTGGATCCCAGCGTTCTGCCTCTTGACGTGCGGGGTGCGGGAAGCCACCAGATACGGCGGTCGACATAGCGCCCGACGCCTTCGATGGCTTCCTGAGCTCAGAGACTTGACGTTCCAGGTCATGGAGCCTTGTTTAGAACTCAGTGCCCCCCGATCGCGCAGGCGTTGCCGAAGCGCTTCTCGCCGAAATTGGCCTGGACAGGTTCGTATCCAGTGCCTCGACCCTCTTCGTGATCTCGTCCACCGCGGTCCTCAGCGGGTCAACGGCGTCCTGGAGGTCCTCCCTCCTGGAAGACTCCGCGCGCCATTATGGCCTCGATGTCCACCTGGATCGGCCGCACCTCCTGCTTCCGCAGCTTGCCAATGGCCTGCATGGTAACGGGCGCCCCTGCTGGAGAGGCAATATGCTCCAGTGTTCCATTCGCGTGGCCTCCAATCTGCCGGTTCCAGGTATCCCCCCTTGTACCAGAAAGAACTAGCGAAGCAGTCGGCGAGGCGTACGCGGATCCGTCGAACGCACGGGAAATAGAAAGGATTACTGACAGCAGTTGTGGAACGTGCCAAGCCAGCGACCCACTGATTTTTCACGACGAACTCTAACTGCAATTTGTACCCCGTTGAATGGTACAAGCAACCTCGGCGCATAGTGGGGGGCACTGGGATGGCGTCCACACCGCCAACGATGTCAAGATCGTTTTTGTCAGGGTTGCTGTCCGGACCCCCTGGCGGGCGAGCATGAAATTGTGGAGGCGCCAGTGGATTCAAAACCTTGCGCGCCTCTGTCACGAAAACATCCCGGCGATCATGCCACTCCGTCAGAGATGAACAAGACTAACATGTGAACGCCAATCATAAACCATGGAGTTTCACCATCAGCTCGTCGACGTTACATTGCGCTCCACGGCGGGCATGTGCGATATCCTCTTTACGCGTAGAAAAAAACCCAGAAGTTGATTTCACGGTTTCCCACCACATGGCGTCCCGTTCCTTGCGCACTGCTGCCGCTGTTGCTCCCGCGAGGTCCTTCTTCGTCGACATGCAGCGGTGAACTTCCCATGCGTGGTAATTTGTCTGGTGGCTTGAACACACCTTTGACTGGGGTCCACATGTAGTGTTTTCCTTTCCGCTGGCATATGGGACGAGCGAGAGCAAATGTGATAGCGACCTGGTGCGATATATTGAAAATGGATGTAACAATTATGTGGGTAGGTAGCGGAAGATGGGAAAAGATGAAGCTGCCTTGAGCCAAACTTGAGCCAAAATGGTCTCCAGCAGGGTCTCAAAATTACCTTCGTATATATTCCGGAAAAAAAAAAACCAATCCGACACAATTCCATGAGGAACCCACGATGGCCAAAGAAGCATCCAATACGGTTCCAAGACAACCAAAGAGGGCCTTCCGTGGGATCCAAAGGCCATCTGACGGCCCCCGGACATCCACCACGAGACCAAGAGAGCTCAAGACGCCCCAAGACAGCGTATATAGGCCCCAAGACGGCTCATGAAGCCTCGATGAGTCCCAAGATGGATTTCCGAATTCTCGCGTTTTGGGCGTCTGTCAACTCAAGGCCCTTCGACAGCCCAAGGCGCCGCTAAGACGGCCTCACGACGGTCCAAGACACCCTCCATACGGCAAAGAAATCCCCAAGACGACCCATGATAGCCCCAAGATGGCTGAAGAAATCCCAAGGCTGCCGAAGACAGACCCGAGACGGTTCGAAGGAACCTCCCGAACTGCCCCACAGGAGGCAAAGCCAGCCCCAAGACGACCCAAATGGATTCCACGAGAGCTCATCAAGAAGTGCAGACGAAAAGCGTCACATGTGATGGCCTTCCTCCTCCCCCTCCTTCTCCTCCCCCTCCTCCTTCTCCTCTCCTCCTCCTCCTGCCCCTCCTGCCCCTCCTCCTCCGCCTCGCCATCGTCCTCATTATCTTCACAATCATTGCTCTCTCAAACCTGGACATGCGAGGTGTCACAAATGACGGCCTCCCGCGCCCCCTCTGACAGCCGTCACCCACAGTGCTGGGCTGCCACGGGTGCGGGACTTGCCGCAGGCAGCTGGATTAGTTACAGACTGATCGTGTCGTGAGCGGCCACCATGAGCAGTGTCCGCGACGCTCCAACGATGTCTCGACGGCCGCCGGCACGATCCAGGCATCTGCAAGAACTCTGAAGCGCATCACCGCCAGGTAATGAAGCGATGAAGATGTGAGCACAGGGTTCAGCTCCACCGAACCCGATGCCAGCTTGGGAGAAAACGCCAAAATCGCGGCAGATGCCAGCATGGGCGCCGCCCGCAGAGGAAAAATGCAGAATCGCAGTCGCAATCGCACAGGCTTCGCTCCACAACGCCTGTGCACGGATGCTTTCGCAGAGGAGGTCACAACGAGCAGCTCCCTTCCATATTTGAATGTATGGGTCCACCGCTGTCGCTTGGTGGGCCTGTTTTCCACCACCACCACCACCACCAGAAGTAGGAGGGGGAGGGGGTCATCCTCCCCCTCCTCCTCTGCTTCCTCCTCCCAATCCTCCACCTCCCTCCCCCCACCAACTTGTGGTGGTGGTGGGAAACAAGCCCAGTCGCTGCCCCTTCTGCGCCACGCCGCGCGCCCCTGCACGTGCGCGCGGTGATGCCGCAGCGCTTCCAGAGGAGGATGCAGGGGTCACATGCCGCGCCCCAGCGCCTGCTCGGCGCTGGACAAACCTCCCTTTAGTGTAAACCTCCCTTTAGTGAAAACGGCCTGGGACCGAAACCGACGGACCTGGACCCGCAAAAATGACGGCCGCGACGCCCTCTCGCGAACCGAAAATGGCCAATTCGCTAATCGACGTGTCAGGGTAGGAGGCTTATCCACCCCCGAAGCCTGCATGCTCAGTGCGTCGCGTTCTTGTGCGTGTCCAGGAACAGGAGATCGCGGTAGCTCGCGAGCGTCCACAGCGCCGGAGGCACCAACGCCTCCGTCTCGTCGCACACCTTCCGGGCCTCCTCCATGGTCTCCAGGCGCAGGGTCCTAGCAAGGCGCGCGGCCTCCAGCGGCGTGCCCGCCGCGAGCATGGCGGACAGCGAAGACGAGAGGCGCTCCGCCTCGGCAGTGAGCGCCGCCACCCTGTCGACGCCAGCGTTCTTGGCGGCGGGGATCACGTGCTGGTGGATCATCTCGATCATGGTCTTGCACTCGATCTCCACCGTGCCCTTGTAGTGCTCGAGCAGCACGGCCTCGCGAGCCTCGCACTCGGCGTCGGTGAAAATGCCCATGTCGGAGAAGAGCTGCTTGTTCTTGTCCGCCGACATGCGGCACATCGCCTCCACGCCGCTGTCGATGCGCCAGATGCCCTTCTCCTCGGCCTCTTCCGGCCACGCGGGGTCGTAGCCGTTGCCGTTGAAGATGCACTTCGAGTGCTGCTTCAGCAGGTCGCGCGCGACGTCCGCGGCCTTCTCGCCAGCCTCGACCCTGTCGCTGATCACCTTGAAGCCCTCGGCGGCCAGGGTGCAGAGCACCGTGTTGATCAGAGAGACGTTCTGAGACGAGCCCGCTGCGCGGAACTCGAAGCGCGCGCCGCCATATGGGAATGGGCTCGTACGGTTCCTGTCCTCGGCCGGGATCTCGATGGGCGCCACAGAGGACACGCCGAAGGAGAGCTCGGTGGTCTTCGGCGTGTACTCCGACGACTCGCCGTCCATGAACTTCTGCAGGTAAGCGGTCATGTCCTCTCCGAGATACGTGGACATGACAGCCGGCGGCGCCTCGCAGGCGCCCAGGCGGAAGTCGTTGCCGGGGCTGGCGATGGCCATGCGCATCAGGTCGCCGTGCTTGTCGATGCCCGACACCAGCGCCGCCATGACCACCGGGAACGCCTCGGGGTTGCCGGTGGCCTCGTTGATGGCTTTTGGCTTCAACAGCTGCACGCCCTCATTAGTGGCAAGGGACCAGTTGTTGTGCTTGCCGCTGCCATTCACGCCCGCGAAGGGCTTCTCGTTGAGCAGGCAGGCGAGGCCGTGCTTCGCGGCGACCTCCTCGGCGACCTGCATGACCATCAGGTTTTGGTCGGTCTGCACGGGCGCGGGGCCGAACAGCGGCGCGAACTCGTACTGGTTCGGCGCCACCTCGCGGTGCCGCGTCTTCAGCGGGATGCCCATCTTGAAGCACTCCTCCTGGATCTCTTGTATGCACTTGAGCGCTGGCGTTGCCGAGGACAGCGGGCCCATATAGTGGTCGCACATCTCCTGCCCGCGCGGAGCCTCGTTGCCCATCACCGTGCGCCCGGCGAGCTGGAGATCTGGACGCTTGTAGTACGCCTCGCGGTCCACCAGGAACATCTCCTGCTCGAGGCCGATGTTGTTGACAAGGCCAGAACACTCCAGGCCCAGGTGCTTCAGCAGCCTCTGGCCCTCCTTGGACACCACCTCTGTGGCCCGCAGCAGCGGGGTCTTCTCGTCGAGCGCCTCGCCGGTGTAGGCCACGAAGCAGGCGGGGATGAAGACCGTGTCGCCGCGCAGGAAGATGGGCGAGCACGGGTCGATCTTCAAGTACGCGCCCGCCGAGTGAGTGGCGCGCAGGCCGCCGTTAGGGTACGAAGACCCATCCGTCTCGCCAGACAAGAGGTGGTCGCCTGTCAGCTGGTAGGACGGAACGCCATCGGCGCTGAAGCTCAGCATCGAGATCTGGACCATGGCGGTCTGCCCATGGCGCATGCCAGCACTGCCCATGGGCTGGAACCAGTGGCAGAAGACTGTGGCGCCGCGGTCGGTGGCCCACTCGAGAACAGCACCCGCCATGGCGTCAGACTTCACCTTTGGATGTTCATCCTGGGGACCTTCCTGGAGACACTCGCTCCACTCGTGCGTCGAGGCTGCGTCGAAACTCCGTCGACTTGAGTCGACCTTGAGTCGACCTTGAGTCGGACCTGAGTCGGATCTGAGTCGAGCCTGAGTCGAACTTGAGTCGAACTGAGGTCACACTAGAGTCGAACAGATCCGTGAAGGTGGGCTCTGGGAAGGTCTCCCAGAACGAGCACCGCATCGCCTGGTCCTTGCACCACGAGGGGTCCGCCAGCGTCTCCAGGCTCAGGCCGTGCTTCCTGAGGTAGGGCTCGGCCACGGCGCCCCGGAACACGCTGTCGCCGAAGCCCTCCGCCGAGGCGGGAGGCGCCACGCGGCCCATCTCCAGCGCGGTCGGGGCCTGTAACCAGGGACCGACCGTCTCGGCATTCGCATAGTCCTGCCACGACGTGTCCCTAGAACCCACAAGTGTTCGAATCACAAAAACAAGTGTTCTCAGAACATACGCCCGACGTGTTAAAAAGACAGCCTCAGCCAGGAATGTTCTGAGAACAATTCGCGCAGACCACAAGAGGTTCTTATACGATTCTTTGGTGGGCCTATAGGCGAGCCAGGACGCTTCGCCACTGCTTGAGGCCTGGACCTCCACGGCGCCCTGGCGGCGCGCGACGCCGGCAGCGCGCGATCGCCGGCCAGTGCGGTGGCTGGCGGCCGCGGCCGCGGCGGAGAGGCCCAAGGCGGCGCCCAGAGCCAGCGAGGCGCACACGGGGGTGCCGGCCGCGGCCTCCTGTTCGCGGCGCGCACAGGGGGGCAGGGGCCAAGGGGGGAAGGCTTCTTCGAAGCGGGCTGCTTCTCATCAAGGGCCCGGCTGCTTACATCTACAGGACGAGGCCCGCGCCCTCTGAGAAGCAGGGGCGCTTCCGAGAAGCCGTCCCCCTCCCCCCTAATTGCCCCCATCTCTCTGCGCGCGGCCGAGCCTGAGCGATGGCCGCATCGATCTGCAGAGTGGCCGAGTTGGGAGCGTGCACCGCCGCGCGCCCGCGCAGGCCGGCCGGAGAGGTGAAGGCGCTGGCGGTGGTGGCGGCGCCCGCGACGCACGAAGCGACCACGCACTTGGAGAGGCACGGCATCGCTCCCTGTGCAGTGCAGGGCTGGCGAGAAGCAAGCAGTTCGGGTTAGGTCGGGCATGTCCTCCTACACAGGCGGATTTTGGAGGAAAAATCAAAAGATGTCAAATAATGCCCAGAAATAGTCAAACAATAATCGAAACATCGTTCCCAAACTATTTTTCAAATACTAATAATAATACTAATAATACTAATACTACTACTACTAATAATATTATTATTATTAATAATAATAATACTAATAATAATAATCACAATCATAGTCATAATCATAATCATAATAATAATAATGATACTAAGCATAACCATAATCATAATCATAATAATAATAAGCATACTCATAATCATAATAATAATACTAATAATAATCATAATACAAATACAAATACTAATAATAAAACTAATAATCCCAATGCTAATACTGATAATACTGCTAATACTACTACTAATAATAATACTAATAATAGCAATAACAATGCTAATGTTAATGAAAATACGGATAAAACTAATATTAATAATACTAATAAGAATAATACTAATCAGCATCCTCGTAATACAAATACTAAAAATAATCATCATACTAACAAGAATAAGAATAACAATATTAATAAGAATCATATAATACTACTGAGAATAAGAATAGTAATAATTCATAATATAGAGGGACACGCCCGACTTAAAGTTCGGGCGAAAGGCCCACACAGCCGCACGGCTTGAGCCAAAATGGCTACGGAGCGTCGCAGACTACGCAGCGCGGCAGCGTCCCTGCATGACTAGCTGCGGAGTAGCTGTGGTTGTTGGACTCCTCCTCGTCGTCGTCGTCGTCGTCCTCCTCCTCCACTTGCTCTTGCTCCTCCTCAACGTCATCAAACTTTCAAAGCGACTGGGTTCAGAAGGGAACGATTAGTGTAGTGTCCGTCCCCAGCACTCGATCTGTGGACTGTGATGCCGAGCAGAATTTGTCGAATGACCACGTGCTGAATTCCATGTTTCGATGATGGTCGCTGCCCCTGTTTCTCTGCTGCCCGCCGCTGCCGCTGTCTTCCTCCTCCTTTTCCTCCTCGTCCTCCTCCTCCTCCTCCTCCTCCTCCTCGTCGTCCTATTCCCCCCCTCAAGCTCTTGCTCCTCCTCCTCCCTCCGCTCCTCTGCGACGCCCAGAGCGGAGAACCCGCCGGAAACGCTAACCGACCAGAGTGCCATCTTTGACCACGCTCCTCCTCCTCCTCCTCCTCCTCCACCTCCTCTTCCTCGTCCTCCTGCTCGTCGTCGTCCTCCCTTCCCTCCTCCTCCTCCACCTCATGTTCCTCTTCCTCCTCCCCTTCCTCCTCCCCTCCTCCTCCTTTTCCTCCCCTTTTTCCTCCTCTTCTCCTCTCCTCCTCCTCCTCCTCCTCCTCTTCCTCCTCCTCCTCCTCCTCTTCTTCCTCCTCTTCCTCCTCCTCCTCCTCCTCCTCCTCCTCCTCCTCCTCCTCCTCCTCCTCCTCCTCCTCCTCCTCCTCCCCCTCCTCACCATCATCATCATCATCATCACCACCTCCACCACCACCACCACCACCATCATCATCATCATCACCATCATCATCATCATCGTCATCAGCATCATCATCATCACCATCACCATCACCATCATCATCATCATCATCATCATCATCATCATCATCATGATCATGATCATGATCATGATCATGATCATCATCATCAACAACAACAGCATCGTCGTCATCAGCATCATAATCATCATCATCAACATCATCATCACCATCACCTTCATCATCACGATCATCATCACCAGCAGCATCCTCACCATCATCAGCATCATCATCACCACCACCATCATCAGCAGCATTATCATCATCATCACTATCGCCAACAACATCATCATCACCATGATCAACATCACCGTCATCACCATAATCGTCATCATCAGCATCAACATCACCACCACCACCACCACTTTCATCAACAACATGTTCGTCATCAGCGTCATCAGCTGCATCATCATCAACAGCCTTAGCAGGCACAACAACCGTAACATCACACCATCGCCAACATCACCACCACCATCACCACCACCACCGCCATCAACACCATTATCGTCATCAACCGCGTCAGCATCAACATCCGCATCATCACCATCATACCATCATTATTATCGTCATCCTCACCATCACCGTCACCACCATCAGCATCATCGTTATCCCCTGCATCATCATCGCCATCACCGCCACAATCCCCATCACCATTGTCAGCACCGGCATCAACAGCATCGCCATCATCATAGCATCACCATCATCATCAACACCATCATCATCACGACCACAACCACCACCATCATCAGCATCAACATGACCAGCAGCACCATCAGCACCATCATCATCATCATCATCATCATCATCATCATCATCATCATCATCATCATCACCGTCATCATTATCATCGTCATCCCCATCGTCGCCATGACCACCCGCGTCAGCAGCGTCATCAGCATCATCATCAGCAACATCATCAACGCGATCGCGTTGCCAACGGGGCAGCGCGTCCATAGCCGCACTCAAAGGTGGACGTTGGATAACGTCGTAACCATGACAACTAGCGGCGCCATACGAGCATGCTGGATCGTTCGGGGCCCAAGGAGACGGAAACCCGTCCGGATCTTGGCATGCCGGCGCACGTGTCGAGAACATACAAAGCGCTCCTGTCCAAGGGCCCAACAATTTGCAGCTGCGACCACCGCAAGTCAATGCGGGCATTGCCACGGGCCCAACACCATAATCTTGTTGGGAACGTCGCATACGAGGGCAATGTTTTGGGCGGGTGGGGAAACAGGCCAGACTTTTCTTGAGCCAGTGCGGCGTTTTTTTTGTGTGCCCGGACAGAACACCTGGGCGACACAACCCGAAGGGAGGTGCCCAAGGTGCCTGCATGAATTCACATGCAGTCGGACCTCGCAACGCGAACGGCGGCACGGACCCGCCCCAGGCGTTATCCGCGCCGCCGTTGCGAGGTGCCTCGAAATGCCACCCCGAGACACGGCCACCGGCACCACCCCCACTTGGCCGCCGGCCTCAAGCAGCGGAGGCCCCGCTGCCCAAGGACTTAAGTTCCCGCGCCCCCCACGTCGGGGGACCCCTTCGAATAACCCCATCGGGCCTCTCAGGGTGGTACAGCGGGCCCGCACCAACTGTGGCTGGCCAACCACAAGGCAAGAGTCTCTCCCACAGCCCCGTCGAGCTGTGGTGACGATCGGGCTGCCAACCCGCCTGTTTTCCTGGGGCGCCACGAAGGCACCCAGCGGCACAGGTGCCAGCCAGTGCGGCTGTGGGCGGTCTACTCTGCTACCCTCCATTGCCGAGCGCGCTCCTTCCTGCAATGTTCCCCTTCCCTTTATCCCCGATTACTATCTCCATCTAACTTGCCGATCCTTCCCATAAGCGATAAGCGCACTATCGACCGTAAACGGGAAAAGGGGCGAGGGTAGGCCCTAGCTGCAATGTTTAATTCCCTTCTTGGGGGTGGGGCCTGCTGCCGGGGAACCACGGGCAGGCCCTAAAAGATGCCAACGCTACTCTCGCCACGAGCGCTGCTGAACGGCTCATGGATTCAGTCGGGGGGCCAGCCTGCACCAGCGCAACTTCTGCTGCCTTGTTGACGATACGCCAAAAAAATGCACGCCCATAAAAAAGGGGGCGCCGTCCATACTAAAAGCGGACAGCAAACATTTCTGTCTAATTCATGGTGTGGTCTTGCCCGCCGACACAAGCGGCTGTTCGCGGCGTTGCGTCGTAGACGAAGCATGCAGGCCTGCGCCCAAGTGCCGACGCCAGAGCGACGAACCGCGTGCGACCGCCATCGGATGAGGCACTGGTGCGCACTATCACCGTACGGCCGGGGTGGTTAAAAAGCGAGCAAAATCGCGGAGGCGCGTGGCGTGCCACTGCGGCGACGTACTCGCCATCGCTCGGACGTCCATTACCTGTGTTTTTTGTCGGTCTCGTGCGTGGTTTTTTCGCCAAATGATCAAGGATGCTCCTCGATGGTCCTCGCCGAAGGAAAAATGCACACGTCCGAGCGATGCCAGGCGTACTGCAAACAACAACGTAAATTATCCGTGAGGTCAATCGCGTTTTGTAATATTGCCGGGTAATCAGGGCGGACAATGCCCCTCGACACGGGCGTCCAGAGAGAGAGCTATCCAGCCAAGTGAAGATGCTTCGCAAATGGGCGGCCTCCCCTGACAGGAAACGCCCGCGCCGCACGGCACCCGCGATTTCCTGCAAAACACTTCTATATGGCCCCGAGCTTGGGCTCAAAACTCACGGTGCCATCCGCGAGTGTGCGCGTCAGATCGTGCAAATGGCCCAGAAGAGGGAGCATCGAGGCGGGCGGCCCACGCATGCTGTCCGGTACGTTCGCGCCAAGAGCGCGGGACAGACGTGTGCGCCACCTTGCGTGTGAGCGACGTCGACAAGCACATTATCATCGACATAGTACATAGTGCCCGCACACGATGAACAACATACGCCTGGCTGCAGCTGTGAGCGACAGACGAACACGACTCAACTGATTCACTGATGTGCCTAGGCTGAAAAGCAATAAAGTTAGGTCGGGCATGTCCTCCCACAGGCAGATTTTGGACGAAAAATGAAAAACAACAAAAATGCTCAAAACATGCAATAATAAAAAAATTGTCTCTCGACCATTTTTTGACTACTTTCGAAGATTCCTCCTGTAGAGCGACAGGCCCGACTGAACAATAAACGCAGGACGCTACAGAGCGGTTCGTGAGCGGCAGGGCGAAGCAGCACGACGACAACGCAGGCCATGTCCGTGCGGATCGGAAACAGTTGGTGGCAGCCTTTCCACCAATCCTCCACTGCTGTGCTGAATGCCAGCCAGCGTGGGGTGTAGACGAGAGCAGCGTGACCTCTAAGGCAAAAAGCTGCGAGATCAACAGGAGAAGCTCTGATGGAATGTTGACAAATGCCGGCGCGGCTGCGGGCGTTGCGGCCTGCTACCCTCCATCGCCGTGCGCGCTCCTTCCAGTAGTGTTCTCTTCCCCCTCTCCCCGATGAAACTCCCCATCATACCCTACCATCCCTTTCCATAAACATCATGAAAATCATGATCATCATCATATCATCATCATCACCACCATCATCATCATCATCATAATCATCATCATAAGCCTCCGCATCATCATAATCGTCAGTATCATCATCCTCATCCTCATCCTCATCATCATCATCATCATTATTATTATTATTATTATCGTCATCGTCACCATCAGCATCCTCATCCTCATCCTCAACCTCATCCTCATCATCATCATCGCCACCATCACCATTATCATCATCATCACCATATCCATCACGATCATCACGATGATCATCATAATCATCAGCATCATCATCGTCATCATCATCATCATCGTCATCATCAGCATCAGCATGGTCATCGTCATCGTCATCGTCATCGTCATCGTCGTCATCGTCGTCATTATCATCAGCATCAGCATCAGCATCAGCATCAGCATCAGCATCATCATCATCATCATCGCCATCTCCTTGCAGGAGGTCAATTCAGTCTTGCCACGCCAGGCCGCCAAGATAGACTGGCCCTCGAGGGCCGCGTAGATCTTGCGGATATCCCCCTGGCTCTTCGCCGACGCGCGCAACGATCGATCCAAAAGGCGAGGCCCCGCTGCGAACTGGACAGCGCGCGTGCTCGCCGACCCGCGG